AATACCTAAAAAGAATAAATGCCGAAGATATTAATAAGAAGAGCACGCACAATTGGCTACGGCGTGGAAAACTTAAAATTGAAACAGAAGCGTTTATTACAGCGGCTCAAGATCAGGCATTGCGGACCCATAACTATGAAAAAGTAATTCTCAAAGTCCGCCAAGATGACAAGTGCCGAATTTGCCAATCTCAATCGGAAACCATCGATCATTTAATTTCCGGTTGTCCGATACTGGCAAAACATGAATATTTAGAAAGGCACAATAAAATATGTCAATATCTCCATTGGAGTATATGCCGAGAATATGGAATGGATGGATTACCCAAGGAGTGGTACAACCACATTCCAAGCCCGGTTACGACAGTAGGTCCATGCACAGTTCTATATGATCAACAAATCCACACTGATAGAACTGTGCCAGCTAACAAACCGGATATCATACTCAGGCATAATGGGGAAAAATGGTGTAAGTTAATTGAGGTATCCGTGCCGGCAGAAAAAAACACCACAGCCAAAGAAGCAGACAAAAGGCTGAAATACAGAAATTTGGAAATTGAAATAACCAGGATGTGGGGAACAAAAACTGAAACGATTCCGGTCATTGTGGGAGCATTGGGAGCCATGCCACATTCAATAAAAGGAAATTTAAAGAAGATTATGAAGAACCTAAAAGAAGAAACCATCCAGGAAATCGCACTATGTGGGACGGCCCACATTTTTCGGAAAATATTATAAATAGCACCACCGATATTCGAGTATTTGTCCCTAAGGAATCGGGTAGAGACCTGGGATAAATGCTTAAAAACCCCGACAAATAAGAGCCTTGTCGTGTTTAAGAGTGACCATAATAATAATAATAATAATAATAATAATAATAATAATAATAATCCGACTCGATTCGAAAGATTTACTTGTAATTGCGATGAATTTTTTTTTTTTAGGCGATTCTCGCATTAAAAATTAGATTTGGTCGTAAAAAAATTGCGTTTTTTAGTTTCGCCTATGCAAAATAATATTATTTTTACGCCCGACATTTTACATTTTTTTTTTTTTAATGTAAATCACGTATTAGATGATAATAATCCGGTTTAATAATAATAATAATAATAATAATAATAATAATAATAATAATAATTGTTTTTTTTTTTTTCATTCACTACAAATGATGGTATAATTTTGAAAAAAAAGTTTTCGATCGTTTTAAAATCGTTTCATTATTTCGAATTGTTTTAATTTTTTTTTTGAAAATAATAATAATAATAATTGCGTTCGGTAGCTTTATATTTTATCATTATTATTATTACTTAATTACTTAATAAAGCAGACGACGACGATTGAAAATTTTTTTTTTATAGAAAAAAAAAAAAAAAAACAATCATTTCCGTTTAAAAAATTCTCTCGCTTTTATATTATAAAAATTTTTATTTAAAATTAAAATCAGAGAGTAAAAATTTTTTTTACACGTGTAAACGCACGTGCACACCCACATAAATTTATTAATAATTAAAAAAATTTTATCATAAATAAAAATTAATACCTCGAATTGCGAGGGGAGGGAAAGTAAAAAAAAAAAATTTTTTTTTTTAATTTTTTTTGTTTTTTTTTTGTTTGGCGTACATAAAAAAAAAAAAATTTCGGACGAATAAACAATAATAATAATAATAAAAGGTCGAAATGTTAGAAGCAGTAAATGACAGGGTCCAGGTATTATTATTATTATTATTAAAACCGACCACGAAAGGAGGTAAATCTACAATTTACACAAATTTCCCGTCACCTCTCACACCTCTTTTGTTTTTGCCGCACACGAAGATAAATTTTTTTTTTTTCTCCAAAAAAAAACCGTTTCACAAAAAAAACGTAATTATTATTAAAAAAAAAAAAAAAAAAAACCCGCTGGAGAAGGAATTTTTGTAAACCGTCGTAACATGCGAACGAGAAAAAAAAAAGGAGGGAAAAAAAGAAAGAAAGAAAGAAAAAGAAAGAAAAAAAAATTTTTTTATAAAACTTGTTTTTCGATAGTAAAAACCAAAAAAAAAAAAAATTTGCGCTTTTTACGCACGCGCACCACCGCCACCACCACCGAGATTAAAATTCATTTAAACAATTTCCTCAATCAATTTATAAAAAGAAAAAAAATAATAATAATGATAATAAAAAATTAAGAGTTTTCCAAAAAAAAAAAAAAAAAATTCTTAATTTGCTACGGTTTAACCTACACACACACACACACACACACAAACACGATCAACTTCGTTTTTAAATAATTTTAATTTTTTTTTTTTTATTACATTTAACTCGTTATTAAACTCGAATTAGAATGAATGAATGAATGAATCATTTTATATATGTATTATGGATATGTTAAAAAATTAAACGTGCTATTATTATTATTATGATCTTTGAATAATATCATCGTCGAATGAACTAATTGTTTTATTGATGGATTGAAGGCGGCCATTAAATCGTAATCAAAAGTTTTTTTCTCAACATCAAATTTTTTTAAATCTCGCGCGTTTTTGACCTCCGATTAAAAGGAAAATTTTCCGTTTATTTTTGTATCCTCTTCGGTTTCGAGGAAAAAAACGTGAAGAAGGGAAAGAGGAGGAAGGAAAGAAGGGAAAAGGAAAGAGAAAAAAAATTTTAACACGTAAAAAACGGGATTTTTTTTTGTTACATGTTTGTACTTTTCTCTCTCTCTCTCTCTCACACACACACATTCTTCTTTGATTTTCCTTCTCTTTCATCACCTTAGTTTATAGACAGATGATGAGAAATCAATAGAGAGAGAGAGAGAGAGAGTTTTTAGTTTATAATTTATACAAAAAAAAAAAAAACAGGACAGATGTTATTACCTTATTGTTATTATTATTATTTACCGTAAAAGTATAATAATGATAATAATAATAATGATATTCATTATGGGGTAAAAAGCATTGGCAATTAGGTAGGGGATGAATTTTTTTTTTTTTATAAAAAAAAAAAAAACAAGTTTTAAAAGAATTGTTGTTATTGTTGTTGTCGTTGTTTTTTTTTTTTCAATATACGATTTAAAAATAAATTTTCGTTTGACAAATAATCATTATTATCATCATCATTATTATTATTATTTCTCTTGTTAAAATTAAAAAAAGAAAATTCACGTTAAAAAATTGCTTTTATCGATCGGAAAAAGTTTATAAATATCGTAATTTTATTACATTTTAATTACGTAAACAAAAAAAATTTTATTTATTTATTTTATCGACGAGAGAGAGAGAGAAAGAGAAAATTCCGCCATTTTGTTTTTACGTCCAAACGATTATTTTTAAAATTTTTTATTGATTATTATTATTAATATTATTAATGCGATTGAAAAATAATTTTAAAAAAATTTCACTTGGATTAATTATAAAAAACCTCGCATGTACATACAAAAAAAAAAAGAAATTTAATTAAGTTAAAAATAATCTTGACCTTTTCATGACCTTTAAATATATATAATTTAACTTATCATTTTAAACTTTCTGCCAGAACAGAAAAAAAAAGGTTTCGAAGGATTAAAATCTAAGGAACATTAAAAAAAAAAAACTTATTATTATTATTATTATTATTAAAATCAAATCCTATATGTTAGACAACGTTTCAAACCTGTTCAGGTAGTACAAAAATAATAATAATAATAAAAACATATTAAATGAATTTAATTAATTAGACGTAATTTTAATCTTATTTTCAATCATCATTCACTTGATTAAAAAAAAAAAAAAAAATCATTTTCAATGTTTTTTTTTTTATTTTTAAATTTTTATTTAATGTCAATTATGGCAACCGTGTATGAAAATAATAATAATAATAATGTTTTTTTTACAAAATCCGTCATGATGATAATAATAATAATCGGTCAGAAAAATAAATATTATCGGTAATAATAAATTTAAAAAAAAAAGGAAATTTCTTTTTTCGTTTCTTTTTTTCAACTTATTCACTATTATTATTATTATTATTATTGTTAATTATCATTATTATTATAGTGAAAAATCCCGGGGAGATAGGTATTTAATAAGGCTATTTTTATAATTTTATTAAAGGGGGGGAGGGAAGAAAAAAAATCAAAAACGAATTTCTCCCTACTGGAAAATTTTCATTTAAATTCATAATTTTCTTCTACTTATCATCACTGGAATAATTTTTTAATGGAACAAACGCATTTACTGGAGAATAATTTGTCGTTTGTTTTTTATATTCTTATCAAAATATATAATATATAATATATATATATTGTAAAAAGTATTTGATAATATTTGGGTTGATAACAAACGATTCGTATGTGTGTGTAAACAGGGCCGGATTTAACTAAACTATTAAAGTCGTATATTATATTATTATATTAAATTCGATTGTCATATTATTTAATTTATTATAGTATTAAATTATATATTTAATGAAAATAAAATAAAATAAAAATTTTTTTTTTTTAAACGGTTAATTAAGAAAATAACTTTTTTTAAAAAAGAAAAAGAAAAATTTATGCTAATCTTTCTTTTATTTCTAGTTTTTTTTTATTTGTTAATAATAAATTCTTTCCCCTCTTCTTTTTATTAATAAAATACTATTGTTTATAGCTTAGACGGCGTGACATAATAATAATATTAATATAATATAATGATGACTATCGCGTATAGATATATTTGTAAGATGATGATGATGATGATGATGAAAAAAATTTTTTTTTTAATACTTTGTAGTTATTAAAAATGCGATTATATACATATATATTTATTTTAATACTTTTAAATATTTTAATTATTATCATTATTATTATTATTATTATTATTTAATAGAATGATTATGTTGTCGATGATTTGTAAATATGTAAAGAAACTATTTTTTTTTTTTTTTATTAACGAACGACGGAGAAAAATGTGGGGGTTTTTGTGGTAAACGTTTTTGTTGTTAATAATCACGTGATTTTTAAATTTTAAATTTTAAAGAGTTAAATAAATAAATAATCCTTACCTCTATCGACGATTTTTCCAAAAAGATTTTTCCCTCTTAAAAAATTCCTCGTCGAACAATTCCATCTTCTATCTCTGAATTGATATTGACATTCTAATATCGCTTGATTAGCACCTTTTGCAACGGCAACAAGAACTCCTGGATTTTCTCGAGCTAATCGTCTTTGTTTACGTCTTAATGTTTGATGAACCGATGGATCCATTGATAATACACCTGGTGACATGGGTATTAAATTATTTGGTTCACCAGCTTTTGCAATGCCCCTACAAACAAACAAAAAAAACAAAATTACAATCGCACGATAATTGATAAGGAAGATACGAAATTCTCAAAATTTGCCCGACACTCCCAAATAATTTCTTTTTTCCCTAACCTTCCTCCCTAACAATCGCCACCACCACCAACACCAACACCCTGATTGTTTTTTCCTTTACGAAAAACAAAAAAAAAAAAACAAATAATCGTTGAAAAAGAAAAAAAAGTATGAAAATATTTACAATGCTCTTAAATGAATCTTTCACGACACGATTCACGTTTTAGTTTTCTATATCATTGACAAATATTTAAATAAAAAAATTCTTTTTTAAAATCATCAATGATTCAAATCCATTTACAAAACAAAAAAAAACATAAATAATAATAATAATAATAATAATAATAATAATAATAATGATGATGATGATGTTTTCTCAAGTTTAAAAAAAAATTTTATTATTTAACAATCGGGAAAAACGTTTTTTCCCAACCGGAAATGAAAACGGAAATTTTTTTTCTCTCTCTCTTTCTCTCTCTCTCCTCTTTGCCTCTCTCTCACAAATGCAATAATTTAAACTTTAATAATAATAATAATAATAATTACATACGAAAAAAAAAAGAAATGAAAGTTTTTATTTTTATCAACTTTTACTTACGTATATATATATATTTATTTTATTACCATAATTATAAAAAAATTTTTATACTTATATTATTATTATCATTATCATTATGATCATTATTATGGTATAAAATTGAAAATTTAATTAGTTTTTTATCTTATCATTAATTGATATTCGATATAATAAAAATAATTTTTTTTTTAAATAAATAAATAAATAAAATGCAATAAAATTTATTTTTCATAAAAAGAAATTTAAATATTATATATATATATAAATTTTTTTTTTATCGTGACGTCATGATTTATTAACGGAAATGCGTAAAACGTTATAACGATAATATATATATAAATTTTTTTTTTTTTTTTATAAAACGTGTTTGTTAATAATATTATTATTATTATTATTTTAATTGCATGCGTTTTATATTAGCCACGCACTAATTATATATTTATATTATATATATTATAAAAATATATAAATTGCAATTTATAAAAAAAAAATTTAAAACAAAGGTAACGCTAAGGCTTTATTATTATGTTTGAAAATTTATTATTATTATTATCGGTTATTTTATTTATAAAAAAATTTTTTTTTCCCACGAGTGAATCAATCAATAAATGATTAAATTATGTACATAATTTTTTATTTTTTTATTGATTATAAAAAAAAAAAGAAAAAAAAGGAAAAAGAAAACATTTTTCCTCGCGAATCGATTAAATATTATTATTATCATCATCATCATCATCGTTATTATTTACTAAATAAAAATTTATTTTATTAAAGAATAGTAAGTAACAGACTAAATAATAATAACAATAAAGTAATAAATAAATAATAACACATTTCGACGTAAAATTTTTTTTAAACAAAAAGAAAAAAAAAAGAAGGTATAATTACGCATTCAAATCATTTTAGTTTTAGTTTTTAGTTTTTTTTTTTGTTTAATTTAATTGTTTAAACATTTAAAAAATGTTAATTTTTATAAACAAAAAAAAGGAGAAAAAAAATTAAAAATTCAATTTGTTTAAATGTTTTGTCGTAAATTAAATTAATTACAATTTAATTGTTTTTTATTGTAAGTAATAAAAAATTTTTTTATGCTCACGACAAACTTGTCGAAACTTTTTTTTATTTTTATTTATTATTATTATTATTATTATTATTATTATTATTATTATTATTATTATTATATAT